TTCAGAAGCCCCAGTCAGAAGTTGGGCCTCTTCCACCCCAGCCTGTGCCATGCATTGCACAGCCGTCCCACACGCCTCAATCCTTTCTGCGATGGTGACGTTCTTAGCAGAAACAACTATTCATTTTCTTTCAAAAAACAGTACTATGCATTCCTGAATAGAAAAGAAGCTTAAAAAAAATCGATTGTACTGTTAAAGTGCAACTTTTAAAAAAAAATCTTGATATTTTAGCTTTAAAAATTTTTTTAAAGTACTACCCAGATGTAACGGTTGGTTTTCACAATGTAATACATTTTAGAAAATAGTTCTGAAATGAAGTACAGCACCATTTCCTTTGAACTACGCAGAAGGCAGCAGGGTTATGAACATTGAGAATTCATCTTCCAATAGAGTTTTTAAAAATCAGAAACAAGCCATGAACCTTCAGTGCGTGACTGTCTGGGTCCCCTTCTCCCCCTTTCCTCCCCGCTGCCTTATTCGGTTTCTGTTTCACATATGGGAAACTCGAGGGAATGCCTGAGAACGTATCTCTCTCTGAAAGCTAAGAAAACGGAAGTCTGAACTGAGAAAACTGGGGGAAAAAGAAAACAACCAAGGGAAGGCAGGACAGTGCCAGGCCACGCTCCCCACACTGAAAAGAACCGTGAGTCGATGAAGCTGCCCAGCCCAGGATGGGGACTCTGAGGCTGCTGTGGCCTCGTGCCTGCCCCGTGTGCCCCAGCAGCTGCCTTGGAGCATGATGCCCTGGACTTCTTGGGAGGCAGGGAGTCCTCCTTCCAGAGAAAGACTCCATAGCATCTCTTTAAGAAAGGGAGGCCCAGCTGAAGGTACGCCACGGCTTCCAGAGGCAGCGTGTGCGAGCCCGCAGACACCAGGGAACTAGATCGGGACGGGCATGGCCAGGGACACTGTGTTCGGTGTGCCTGGAAAGCCTCCGTTGTTGGCTGCCCTTTCGACGTGAATCTGGGATCTTTCTAGAAAGGCGGTTATTTCACCAACTAGTGAGCTAGCAGATGTGGGCTTAACCTACTGAAAAGAAAAGTTGGGTT